CTCTTTCGTCTACCTTACTCTAAGCATTCGTAAGTAATGCCATAATGCCAGGCTAAATAAGATTCCACAGGAAGGATACCACTATTCTAACTCACAAGCCCTCACAAGCTCTACCTCTTTTGATCTGAGTGTGTAGAGGCCCATTTATTCGCCTGAACAATAGGGCTGATAACATAAAAGTACGCTACACTCTGGATTTCACATTTGGGAGTCTCTGGCACAATCAGAGAGCACCAACTCGAAGTCAAGGCTGTAATTCAGAAAGCTGCTTGGACCAGTAGCACGAGACCAGAAAGGAATTGTCTGCTTCTAGAATGTGATTGGTCTTCTCCCGCACAACGAGGAAAGAACGACTTAATCTAGAAACTTATTGGCAGCGTGCAGTTAATGAATGGTATTTATCAGGTCGTTTGGCCGTTTACATGTAAATTGAGCATAAGCGGCTACTGTATGTGTAAGACTGAAGTTACGGAATAACGGGTATCGCAATTCATTCGTTCATTCGTTAAGTCAATCATAATTGCTCAGATCCCGTTATTGCGTTCCTGTTGCAGTAGCAGCAATTTCAGAAGATTTTCCCACTTATGGTTGCCTTCTGTCATTTTTGCAAATTCCATAACTGCAACCGGATTCACTAAAAGCGAACAGTAACTCTTCAGAGTTATAATTCGTCAATTAGTTGATCAGAATTTCTTTTCAACAACGTTCAAATTCCAGGTTATGGCAATATTACCTTTTCTCTACTTTATGAATGGCGAGTAACAATTAAAGTAAGAGATCACATTCCTAAAATGTCAGGACATCAGACCATAGTAGCATGACACTTTCAGTATCACCAATTCCACTCACTCTATTTTCTATCTGGTGGTCCCAGTGTATGATAGAAAATTCCCCACTGCATCATCGGATCGTGAGCAGTTTACCTCACGTGAATGATATTCACTTTTTCTTTCTATTTATTATTGTCCTAAAATGTCGCTTTGGTCTTCTCTTCAGTCTTGAAATCCCGAGGTAAAGATTTGTAATGCAATTTCCTGAGGCAATCACTGCTCCTTCCTATTAAATGGTCAAGAGTAGCATTCGTCTCTTTATGCTTCTGATCTATTCTAGTTGTTGTCCCGTCTTCCAGAATACATCCTTTGTTTAAAGCCTTTACGGGAGCCATCTGTAACTCCAAATTTCCAACAGTTCAGTGAAGCTGCGTTTCCCCGCTATGTTGGAGCAAGTCTCGCATTTGTACGTTGAAAGGGACCAAATCGAAAAATAGGCTCGGTTCATAGTATTTCTGAGCAGCAGAATGAAATCGCAAGACTTGATGCAGTGAAACGGTTACCATCACAGCCCTCACAACACTCCTTTGTTCAAGTCCCAAAATTACTTTGCATGATGTATCCATTGTTATGCTAGAAAACGGTAAATATTTTATTCAATTCAGTTTCAGCATTTTAAATTAGACACTTTTGGAATGAAGGTCTTTCTTTCGATTCTTTGACCATAACGATAAATAATATTTGCTGTCAGAAGTTTTTCTTCCAAGCGCACAA